CATTTCGGAGCTGCCTGCCTTTCTCTCTTTTGTATTCTCTGAATTTTTGAACAGAAAGGCTGCCTATTAGGGAAACTAACATATCAATGAGAGAGTACGCGCAAAGTAGGTCAATCGCTCGTTGAGCTGTACCTTCTTTTATTCGAAGTCTCGAGACACTGCGGACGCACTTTCCTGCTTTAACTTCTTCTGTGGCTGTAGTGAGTTGATCGAAGCTCGTCTCCTTGCGTTTCGACAGCATTTTCATTGGCATTCTAGAGTATTTTTGCAGTCCTTACTTTTTAGTGTATAACCGTATCGCAAAATTTGATAAATTAAAAAATGACTAGTGGTTCTCTCGTCAGTGGCAAGCCGCTGACGTTGCCAGAATATATCCGAGGTCGTCTGGAATATCAATCATGAGGTCCTCGCATGACTTGCCGCATACGCTGAATGCCTCAAAAGAGCAATCAGTACAGTCGATTAACTTGGCAGTCGGGTCGTCCATGCAGTACTTCTCCCCGCAAGGACTGTGCGTTCTTCTGCCTTCATGTAGTGCCGCGGAGTCCCTTGCTGGCACACGAGGGGTTTCATACGAAGTTTTAGGAACTACGGGCAATAATATACAGGATGTTTCAGAAAACGCAGGCCAAATCGCTCCTACGAAAACTACTCATCGCAACGAACAAAGGCTTGTGGCGTTTTGGTCCTGGGCCGGGGGCCCATTTAGGAAAATTATAAAAGTCCGGGACAATTAAGTTAATTCTTTTTGTGTAATTAACTTTTTTAATATTGTGCTCAAGGGCATGGTTTAAATTAGAAAATTGCTCAGCATTATCGGAAAACACTAAATCAACAAATTTCAGAATGATAAAAGGCACGCGAAGCAGTTTACGGCTTTCTGAAAAACCGCACAAAATCAACGTGTTTCTAAGTTTCGGTTTGCTATCGGAGCGCATCTCAGCCCCGGCGGCACCGCGCCCCGTGGAGAGATAGTGCAACCAACCTCTGCTGCGCTGCCATCGCGCGACGCAGCAGGGGCTGGTTGCACTATCTCTCCATGGGGCGCGGTGTCGCGGGGCTGAGATGCGCGTTTGACATTATTAGATCTAAAATATTTCGTAGTGTTCAGGTGCTCGCGTGCATGTGCATGCGTGTATCCGTGCGTGCGTGCGTGCGTGCGACAGCCCGCAAAAAAAAAACAAAAAACATTTATGTACTACACGCGATTCTAAAGATACAAAATAGACGATACAAAATAACGTTCGAGGCAATAGACCTTTTCTTGTTTACTGTCGTTCCCAGCTACATGACTGTAGCACACATTATGATCGACGAAACAATAAAATAATTCAACCTGGACAAAATAAACAACGAAAATAGGCGAGGCGAATCAAGAACGGGTGACCCTTACGATTATAACGTGAACACCAAAGATGCATTAGAATGGCTCTCTTCAGCGAGTCGTTGAAGTATATTGTCACCGTATTTTCACGTTTACCTCTCCCAGGTCCAGGCTGGCCCTATCCCATTAAGACAGCGTGGTTTCGTAGGTAGTTTTAGAGTTGTACGTTGGTATACATACCATGGCGCAAAACGTCCGCTTTCGTTCACCGCGAGAGCGAAGGCGAGATCTAGTTTGCCTCTGGCTATGCGAGCGAAGATTACGCTCGTGACTGTTCGTCTGCTTACGCGCTCGAAAAAACGTGTTTCGTCCGCCACAAAACACCGTTCGCAGAAAGAAATAAAACGACAAAATGTCGTACAAATTGTAAGGGCGCAAACAAGCTGGTGTACATTGCACGTGGTTGTAAAAACCCCGAGACTGCGGGTAAACGACACAACATTAAAAAGTCTTAGAGACTTTTTAGTGTTGTGTCGTTTACCCGCAGTCTCGGGGTTCTTTCAACCATGTGAAAAGTCGTACGTCGTCTGCTAACAGATCGGCAAAAAGCTGATCGTCTGCTACGAACCATGCGACACGGCGAAGCAAGATCGGACGCGGGCGGAGATTGTGAACGTCTGCTATTTTATTTTGGAAGCCACTGACAACCAGCGCTTCGTTTTCGAACCGCAGGTTCTTCTGCAGCCGTAGACAAGCTGACATCGACCGATGGATAAAGGAGTATACTAAAGACGAGTACACCAGGGGCAGCTAGGACTATATCGTTGTACATGGTGAGACGATGTCACCGATATGTAGACCGTTTCATCGTGGGTAGCGCCATTTTGAATGCTGAAGCGCCATCTAGCGAGCGTCGGGTTCTGCGGCCATGCTGATTGGTTAGAAACGTTGGCGAAAGTGCTCGTCGGGGCGCCGCTCCCGGGTTGGGTGTGCTAGGTGGGTGCTCCAGAGTCCAAAGTGCCTGGTATCCGACTTGGGGCGCGTCTCGTGTTATTAGGTGCCGCGGATGACGTTTTTCAGCTTATTGTGCACGTTTCTTGCCCCGGATTATGGCATCCGCCAGTGTGGGGAAGCCGAGTAGAGCGGCACTGAAAACGCCACCGATAGAAATCGGAGGCGAGTACTGAAGGTATTGTGTCAATTAACAGAGACTGAATTTCCCTTCAAGTTTTGTGTCGTTTTAGATGCAGTACACTGAGAATATTTTCGGCGTTTCGTTAACAACAATAAAATATAATGTAAAAAAAGACGCGCGAAATGAGTACATTGCAAGAAACAATCGAAGGCAGCTCCCTCCGGCTCGTGGACGTTTATAAAAGTTTTATTTGATGATTCCGTGTCGACGAATGTGTCCTTCGTCGAGAACTGAAAACAGCAAAGTCGAGATGGGCCCATTGACGGAGCGAGTCGATCTATGATTCAACAAATCGAAATCGATGCATGAGCTTGTTAAAACAATATGGCTTGTTTCTTTACAGCTACATTGTGTACTAATTAAAAAAAAACAAAAAAAAACAGCAAACTCCAGTAGCGTTGGGACGGCCAACATAAATTCACTGCTCTCGGGTATCGTGCAGGAGATGGCGATTCACGAAAACAGACAGAACTAACTTTTCGCCCATTTCCAGCCAAGCCGGCTGCGGAAATGACCCTTGAAATAAGCGTTGTAGATGATAAAATCGAGTCAATGCGACCACTGTAACATATCAACATTAATATAAATTAAGTTAAGGGGAAGTTGCAAGATGAAACAGCAATTCTCACGAGAAAACTTGCGCGCACCTTGCCAGCGTGCATGTTTATGGACGGCACAGCGTCAAGTTCGGTGCGCGCTCCATTCGCGAGATGTTCCGAGCATACTCGAAAGGATGGAGTCTGGGAAAAGTCTTTGGTTTACGGACGCAACCCACTGCCGTCGGAGGCCTTGGCCATTCGGAAAGCGATGAAGTACGAAGACGTTGAAGCCGCAGTTGTCTTGTCGGATGCCGTGCGTGATACACATGCCCTCCGATAATATTCTGCACTTTCGGTTCCTATTCGAGCAGCTTATTACCGAATAATGGCGTCCCGATGACCAGGGGATTGTGGGCATTGGATTCGTTAGCTCTAATTAAACCTGAAAGTTTAAAAATAGAGAAAATCGCGAAGAAAACGAGCGAAATTGGAGCAACACACGCGTCCAAGGGGTTCATCCGGGTCTTCAGCTCGATCCTAACACACCAGCAAGGAGGAAAGCGTTGGTAGCCCTTTCCCTTGTTGTCTTTTGCCCTCTTTCAGTGAAACGGTGTATTGCCCGATTGTGAACTCGTGACTCGGTTTTAAAGTGTCTCATTGGTGGATTGCGGCCGAGTTTTGGGGCCGCGTCCAATGAGCGGCTGAGAACGCTCTCGCTATCGCCTGTACCCTAATCGGACCCCCAGAAGGCGTCTCTGACCGGCGTTTGTCATGTCCTAAAGAGTGGTCCTTTGATATCCGTCCGACGCAAACGTGACGTTGTCGCCTGCCGCAATCCTGGTTGTGTCACGGCAGCGGAGGTGGATGTTTTCGCAGTCCGCGGGGAGTTGGGACGCCGCGACAACGACGACATTCACGTTCGCATAGTCCTTCCTGCTGTGACTCCAAGCACCAAATGCCAAGATGGCGACATTCGACAACGCCACACGCCGGCTTCCATCGAACATCCATTAAACGTTTTTGGACCCATCAGGAACAAGCTGTACTGCCCTCCCCCCCCCCCCCTTTCCCTTCCAATGAAATTTGACGTTACGCCTTACCAAATTCAAAAATTTAACTTGGCGAAAATGTTATTGTGACTCGTAATTTGGGTTACTCGGTCAGGTGGGTGTATTAATGGGTCGAAGTAATTATGAGGGACATCAAGGACTGCTCGCCGGAGACCCCCATTTAGCGGCTGTGCTGCACTGGCGGACCATCTACAGCCAGGACACCGGGCGCAATTACAGACAGACTCACCGCAGTCATTGAAAGTTTCAGAAACGAGTGGCGAGTTGCTAATAACTCATTATAGCTCAACAGCTAATCAGATAGCGGCATTAAAAACCACAAAAGGACAAATCGAGAAGCGAGTTCTTAAGCTGCGAATATCTACCAACCTCCAGTCTCCTAAGCCGCCCTTTAAGTCTTTCGGTCTAGAATTAATTTCTACAAATCATAAGTAGAGTTTCGTGTTTTCAGGCTTTATTTGTTTCCAATTTTTTTTTTTTTTGCGGTTGTATCGATTTTTAGAGACTCGGTGTTTTTCGCTACCAATATTTTTGCCGAAACATCGGTATTTATCACGGGGCTTACGCTGAAACAAATTGGACACGGGCATCCGATCCCCCGACTTCCGGAGACCGTACGCGTGAGCCGAAGAAGTGGAAAACGTCCCCGTACTATAAATAAGAGACAGAAACGATTATTAGGGTTCGGTTCCGCGGGAACAAGCAGCGCCTGGAAGGGAGTTCAGAGTGGGCTGTGTCCTGTCTCGTACAGTTGACTCGGAATACAATTATTATTACTCTGGACTAAAAAGTATTCAATCAGATGAACTGAATACATGTACACGTTACACCTGTAGGGTTAAGACACATTGAAATCTTCTCGGTCAACTCACCCTCCTGGAAGTTTTGCGGCTGATTGGGGCGCTCCAACGGTGAACTCGGGGCAGGTCGCCTCTTGCACGCGTGTCTGAAAGATGGGTAAAACAAGGAAGAAATCGCGTCTTTTGTTTGGTGATTTCGGCTTATTTAAATCTTCCGGATTTCGACCGAACGGCTGATTGTACGATTGACTAACGCGTAAAATCACGAAATACTTTTTTAACCGAGACCCCAACCTCATAAATTTTAAAACTTGGAAACAGCGCGAAAAAAAAATGGAAAAGAACGAGAAGTGAACGAACACAACGCTGACTGACAATTGAAGTTTATGTTTGTTCGTTCACTGCTCGTTCTTGTCCTGTGTTGTTTTTTTTCGCGCTGTTTCCAAGTTTTTATTATGCACCAACTAGCCCAACTTCACGCCTTATTGCCTCCTAAATGTGTCTATCAATGCGTTTCTTCACTAAATCAGCGGGGAAATTGACGTGACACGACGGCATCGTGTGACACAACGGTTCTTCAGCATGAAGTTACGTCATGTGATCGGGTAGAGTGACGTCAGAACACGTGACCGGATCGTCCACCGGTAAACTTTGCGGGCATTTCTCGGAACGGGACGCCGTGTGACGTTATGGTATCACGTTAGACCCCGAAGTCGCCATGACGTCAGGTTACCGTGTAATTATAGTAGAGGAATTGACGTCAGACGGCCATACGGCGTGGCGTTAGGCTACGTGACATTACGGGAGTTTTCAAATAATGTACACAATTATAGCGCAGGTTAACGCTATAGCTTTCGTTTACGTTAGCGCACGCTACGCGTGAAAGTTTTCGAAGGACGTGCCTCAGCCGCGACGCGAAAGCCCAAGCATCTCGCGCTCGCAACGCCATCCAGATACAGTAACAATTTTCGTTTCACACACGAAAAAGCTGCAATTAGAGGAAACAAACGTTTCGGGTACGGAGTAATTAACATTTTAGAGTTGTTTAAATATGAGGATGCGACGCGAGCGGTCCCTTTATCGGCGAGAGAAGTCTCCTGTACAAAACTTCGCACATCGCACACGCCTTTGCCGACAAATGTTCACGCGTCGCAAGCAGCAAGTTACCCGATAACGTTGCCCACCTCGGTGTGTCTTCCAAGCAGTGTTGTACGGGACGGCGTTCCAAGGAACGACGTTTCTGGAACGCGTTTTTTTTTTAGGAGGAACGAAGGAACGCCGCTGTTTCATTTTACATTGGTGGAACTGGAAAGGGAACTCGTAACAATTTTACGGGAACGGAAGAAGGAACGGAGTTGCTTTTTCTTCGTCCAATTGGGTAATTTTTATTTTATTTTGTTAATTCCTTAAAAAGTATAAAAACAATATATTTACGAAGAGCAGGATCTCGTTAATTTTTTTGTTACTTAGGGTTTCTTTTGTAGGGGCCTGGCTTGGTAAAAGTCGGGTGCAGGAGAGCTAGTGCATTCATTCCCTTTTCAGCGCCCGAAACTGCGGTACAGGAATCAAAACATTTAGTCGAAGGAAAAGACAGAAAAAGGGACGTTTCTAACTCAGCTATTTTCTTTGCTTCCAGGAATCCTCATACGCCCAGAAATCTAAGGAAGACTACGACCATCACTAAACTTCTACAAAGAGACCTACAGATACACCAAAGAACAGATTACCAGACATCAAACGCACCCGTGTATCCCAAACATTGGGATGCACAAAAATTAACCTTCAGTCCTCTCCTGTCCTCCCAACTTCAAAATGAACAACGAATCCAACTTTCACAAGGAAGGAGTAGTAGTTTTCAACACTGACCTTCCAAAAGCCCTACCCTTTTCTCCACTCGCTCCCCTTGCGGACAGCAACATTGAGAAGCAACTGTTGCTAAGTTCGAACAAGGGGCTTTGTTAGATTGAAACGTGTGAGGGTGTAAAACGCTCGTACAATGTGGGGTAACCGTACATTTCTCTCATCTGAAACTCCCACCACAAACATGGATATGGCAAAAAGCTGAGATTTTGTGGGAACCATGGGGTTCCCGCTATCCCTATCTAGGCCTAGCTTCAAGCAGGCCGTGGGAGTCGTCGTCGCCAATGGCGTCGGCCTCCCGGATACAAGGAACCACGAGGCCGAATTCCCCGAAGGGGCCGGCTCTCCCTTGCCCAGTTGGGTGAACGCGCCTTCGGCACACACTTGAGAGTTATAATGGACGCGACTGCTAGTAGCCTCCCCGGGCGCGTCCATTCTCCGAGGCTACATAAGCTGGCCCCGAAGGAGTGCCAGGGGCTCTCGTCGGCGGAGGCCCTGGCCCTACGGAGCACGGTTTTTCTTTGTGGGCCTCCGACTTCCCGTGTATCTGCCTAATGCGGCAGCGCGGGAAACCGACCGGGTGATACTGGCAATTGAGCCAGCGCCCAGACTTTTCCTGTGTAAGAGCGAAGCGTGTTGGTGTTTGAGTCAATAAACACGTCGTTATCCGAACCCAAGGAACCCTCTGTGTTTCTAAGTGGTAGCTCCCCAAAGGGGAATCCCACAATTTTTAAAAGTGAATATATCAACAAATGAAACCTCGCTTCCGCTTGTTTCCTTCTCCTGGTGTCCTTCCATCACGACATTCAAACTAGTATGCTGCCATATGATGAGATAGATACAAAAAACACTTTGATCCAATAAAATATGGTAATTAGCGAAATGCAAATGTAACGTATGAATAACGATACGGTTTATTTCTTAAACTGTAACGGGAACGAGTTCCTTTCTTACAGATGGAACTTCTAAGGGGAGGCGCTCTAAAAGTCGAAAGGAACGAGGAACGAGCTTTTGTTTCCCTTTTTAAGGAACGTGTAAAACACTGCAAGTTCCAAGCCGTTTCTGGCGTGCGTCTCCCTTACAGGTTCAATGTCTTCCCGTATTTGAATTCTCAGCCGCGAAGATTTCGCCGACATCGCGTTCATGACGGCCGCCAAGGCGGCTATTGTCTGCGCAGTCCTGGGAGCCGCCATTTTCTGACTGTGCTCGTCTTGGCTTTAGACAACTTCTCGAGCATCACGAACCCTTCTTGGAGGAACTCAGACTGTTCGCCCACGCGCGCAATTTTTGAAAAATAGCGTACGCTATATAAATAGCTCCCGCGAAGCGCGGTTAGCGTTCGGCAAATGCGCAGTGTAGACGATGCTGCTCTTTGCGTACGCAAAGCTTTTTGCATACGCGATTCTAAAGCGTCCTATTTGGGCATTAGGTCACGTGACGTCAATTCCACCTCTAGACTTAGCGGCAAGATAATAATTAAAAAAAAAGTGTTGTTTTTATTCCTCAAACACCGCCTGCCATGCATTTGACGACTTCGGAGATAAATATCGGCGGTAATTCTACGATTGATGAATTGTCCGATTTGATGGCCGATTGATTTTCGCTCGTGGTTGACTGATCGGCAGAACCAGCGTCGAGAGTTTCTAAACTCATTGGCGATAGCTAATAGCTTATAATTAGGAGTCTGTCGTTTCCTGTGTACACCGATAAACACCGAAATGTAACCCCCGAGCCGATTTGATCAAAATCGGGTAAAACCAAGATGTGCTGTAGAAAAACTTGTAGTTGGGCTAGTTGGTGAACGCTGGAAATCACGGTGTAAGGAGCAAAAAAAAACAAAAAAAACAACGGACACACGAGAGAAAACAGACATACAGGCGCCACTCACAACTATATTTGAATGCACATATCGTCATCTTGATCACGTCCACGCATGCGCTTGGCCATGTGATATATAACCATGCGTGCATATTTATATATATATATATATATATATATATATATATATATATATATATATATATATATATATATATATATATACACGCATGGTTATATATCACATGGCTAAGCGCATGCATGGACGTGATGAAGATGACGATGTGTGTATTCCTTTCTTTCTGCACTTCTCAAATATAGTTGTGAGTGGTGCCTGTTTGTCTGATTTCTTTCTTGTGTCCGTTTTTTTTTTTTTTTTTGCGCCTCACACCATGATTTCCAAAACCAAGATACATTAAATTCAAGCTATTCCTGAATAGGAAAAACAAAAGTTTCGCGAAAGAAAATATTTATGTGTGAACAGTTTTTTGTGCGTGTGTTTACTCCGAACACAGCCTGCCCTCTCCGGCCACCAGCCGCGCTGACTAACTGGGTGGATGGTTGAATAGAGCTGAGCCCTTTTAATCGGGCGGCGGCTCGGCCACCTACCCAAAGCTCACAAAAAGTAAGGTTAAGCTGTTTAACGGTATACCATAATGTCCCCCCCCCCCTTAAAAAACGAACAAACAAACAGACAAAAATGTTTACAGGCTTTTTTTCGGCGCAAAAATAAACTACGCACCGCCCAAAGGTAGCGCTAGTGTCCAAACCAGATGCCGATGTTTCAGCACCGAACTGATAAGTTAGTCCAAACCTATAGCTATAGGTGATTTTCTGAAAATGTCAATAGGAAATGGGAGCCCCTTTTCGCCTGTTTTCAGTTTCTGGCGCCCATAGAGCCCCATATATTCGAAAACTCCGTCGGCCGCCATTTTCCCATTGAAATTTTCAGAAGATCACTTACAACTTTTGAATAAAATATCAATTCGTGTTGAACCTTTGGCATCTGGTTCGGACATCTAGCGCTACCTTTGAGCGGAGAATAAGCCTTCGGAGATGCCTAATTCACTATTGCGTAAAAAAAAACATGTAAATTTTGTTTTAAACACCCTGTACTTCTAGATTCAAAATTAACAAACCCTAGTCTACTATTTGACCAAGGCGCCTCCTGTCGACTGGCCCAGGGTGAATTCCCCCTCTCATTTTTCCACCGATCGACGTTCATTCGCGATTTCGAAGGTACTACTACTACAACTACTACCAGTGCTACTACTACTACCGTTATCATTAATACTACCACTATTAATGCTATTACTACCCTACAATTACTGCTACTACTGATTCTGCTGTATACTACTGCTACAGCTACTAGTACCATAGAGCGACAACCAACTTACCTGTCGTGGCGAATCTGAAATTCAGCAAAGGAGCGTCTCACTTCTTCAAGAGAACCTGCGAAAGCGTAGTTAAGAAAGGAATTACTCCGCGGTCAGGCACACTGCGCAACATGTTTGACCGCAAACACTGTATCGGCGCTTTTTCGTAAACTGCGCACGCACAGACCGTGTTTTTTTTTTTTTTTTTCGTGGGCAGCGCCATTTTGAATTCCGCAGCGCCTCTAGCAGTGCGTCGGGTTCTGCGGCCACGCTGGGTTGGGCTAGGGTCCCTCGATAAACGCTTTGCTAAGCAGCGATAGCGATATATGTGCCGACGCTCTGTCCCATTGGTACGTGCCTGCCTTCCGTGTCCGGTTAGGAAGAACATGCCGGATTCAACTCGACTTCAATCTCGAGTAGCGGTTAGGTACTTTTGGAGTTCGAAGACCTACCCGCGTCGTCCAGCGTTGTTCTATCTCGATTGTCACGGGGCATGACCCGCTGGAGTAACTCGTAAGATTTCGAACACAGCAGTGGTGGGCGAGTTAGGAAGAACATGGCGGACCGCGCGCCAGCAGACAACACGAGCGAGCGGAGGAGGGCAGGGAAGGAGGATTTGTGGCTAGCTCGCATCAGAGCCGTGTATACACTCTGAAAATACAAGGGTGAGTAAAGGGACCAATCGCCATCTTTCACCCCCACGACCCTAGCGCCCTCTATTCGGAAGCGGTAACTCGAGCAGTTCGTCCCTCGGGCATTTCGTTGCTCCCACTGGAGTTGCTCCCTTAATGAATACTTGAGTCCCCTCGTCAACTATGGCTGCCGCAAGCCTGCGATCGAGTGGAGGAAGCATCACTCGAGTAGCTTTTTCGGAAAGAAGCCTTGGCAAAACAAGGTTTTGGCCCCGGGACTTAGAAATCGTGACCACCTACGCATATTTAGTGAATGTCTCCGTCCGCGAAAAACATGAGAACGGATTTCGAAAGACGCGGAGGCGCCGGTAACGAGGCTACCTACTCTCCAACAATCGCTTCCACGCCTCCGAACCGGTAACCTGTGGCGGTGAAGGCCTCGTCAAAGAAAAGCCGAAGTTGCGAGCGATTAAACGGTCAGTTTTGATTGCTTTGGCTATACTTGTAGAGAGAGAGAGAGAGAGAAGTCTTGCAAAAGAGGGAAAACCATCGTTGGAGTTACAGCCATGGGCCGAACGGTCATCGTTGGATTGGGGGAGGGGAAGGGGATAAAAGCTGACAGAAGAAAAAATTGTGAAAAAAAGAGAGGGAGGTTGTTTCGCCAAAGCCGACAAGCGGAGCGCGAGGAGCCACAAAAAGTGGCTGGCAGAAAAGAGGGCGGAGCCAAGGAAGGAAGGCTATACTTGTAGAGCTGCAGGAACGTTATAGGCATTTCAGAAGGTACTACTTCATAAAGCCGCAGTATTGCCCTGTACGACAGGGGCTCGCTGTCCGACGCGGTCGGACGCGTACTCGCCCGTGTTAGCGTGCAAACGAGGCCTAGCACTTCGAAACTGCCCGGTGGCAATCCGTTCATCAAACAAACGATATTCCTACGCCGAAACCGTGGCGGTTAGTAAGAGGCCTGGTGCGAGTTCGAACCTCGAGATTAAAGCTTCACTCTGACGCTCTTAGGCGAAAGGTATGGTCGTATCCGCTATGCGTAAATAAACATGTTCTTAATCGATATTACAGTTTCCCCAGACGAAGCGAGAGTTTTCGGTGCGTAGTGGGGACTGTTTGAAAGCGGCGCTCGCGAATTCATTTGTGGCCTATCAGAGTCGCCTGGGCAAGTCCGCTTTAGTTCACGTAGGCTTGCAGCGAACGACATTAAACCAATAATGCAATCCCCTTGGTGAAACAAACAAAAACAAAGTCGACAAAACGTTGCAGCAGCATATGTCCACAAAACTGAACGGTGCCGCGAAGTCGTGCTAGCGCGTTTAATTAAGCATTACCTTATGCTTTTATTTGCTTCACGGGTTCCGAGTATATTTCGGCCGATGCTGGTCGGCTCCGCGGCACGATTCATAGTTTACACCATGGTCGGGAATCACCAAATTGGAATTGAACTTAAACGCTGTGACTATACACCTGTTTATAGAGCCCCGCGTCGGAGGACTTTTGTTTTGTAATACTTGTCTGCTTTTGAGATCTTCACTTCGGAGTTTGGTTTCGCTTTGTGCATAACTTCTCTTCTGCTGGTGGCTTCGAATGTTTTGAATCATTCAAAGCTGCTCTTGCGAACTTTGTTTAAAATGAAGATAGAGTGGGTATGCAGGCGAGCTGGTTGATGTTTCACATTTCTGAAAAACCGAAGACGCGGACGAAAAAAGGGACAAGACAAAAGACGTCTTGTATGTTGTCCCCTTTTTCGTCCGCCGTCTCCGGTTTTTCAAAAATCGTTTAAATTTTTTTTTCCCCTTTTGCATGCTGCTGTTCATTTGGCGGTTGTGGTTGCTTTCGGCTTTGCGCATTTTCATTGGTGCGAAAGTTCTATTCCCGCCGAGATGCTTGCAGTTTGTGGTCTTTTTACTTTTCAAATCCGACATGTCTGTTGGTTAAATTTCAACCAGTGTTCCCTTCTGCATAAAGCAAAAGTCCTTATTTCTTTAATAGTGATGCCGCCTAACTAAAACCTTTAATCCAGGGTGTGACATGAAGTTTTGTGTTGCTCAGTATACCGTGACTGTACTCTCTTGCTTTTTGGACCACATTATTCAAGATATGAAAAGCCAGAAGACATAACTTTGAGACATGCGTCGGCCTCTCCCGCTGTTTATTGTGTAGTGAAGGGGAAGGGCTTTCCACAGGGCGTACATTTTTTGCCATACTTGTCATGGTCTCAACTGCACAGTTCACTTTCAGTGCACTTATGGGTAGACCTCAAAATATTTCCAGACGCATTGTGTGAACATTATCTCAATAAACAAAATGATACAAAATAATTTCTGGCTCATTAATATCTGCAGTCACTACTAAAAATATGGCCAATATAAATCATATTTCGTAATGCCATATGTAAGAATTGTGTGCCAAATAATATGCATTTTTCTCCATGTAAAATGCACAGTCCAATTTGATGTTTGGCCAAGGTAGTCTGCTTAACTATCCCCGTCAGATGGCACATAAATGACATTGTTTCCTTCCACTCTTTAGTGATCGTTTTCTAGTTGTGAATCTTTTAATAAAATTAATGTGGATACAAGAGCAGATATTTTTGTGTATAAATGCATAGGATAAGGGAGATTGTCATGAAGCGCTGAAAAGTTTAATGTTCACTAATAAACTAGTTAGTGCTCAGGTTTTTCTTCATATGGGCTTTTCATATGGTATAATTGATTTGTGAGTAATACGTACACACCAATTAACAACTGTAACAATTATTGGTCTGTTCAAACATATTTAGTACCCATGAAACCTTCCTTATCTTATTTCAATAGGTGTGAATGATGCACCTTCGAGCTAGTCGCACATACTCTTTACCGAGCTTTATGCAAGTGAGGCGAAACCTCCATAACTTTTTTTGCTCTTATGGCTATTCTTTATGAAACCGAAAATTAAAAATCGTGGCTATATAGTATAGCTAGGGTAAACATGAAGTATAAGTAATTTTTTCGTAGTTTCTAAGACTGACCATTGTTAATATGCAGTGTTGAACAAGATTGCCATATTTTGTTGATTTTGCTTTTGGCGGCATGAGCATCGGCATATGCTCTGAAGACAAGCCCGGCCCACATCGACAACGTGGAAAACTAGCTCCTGACGTAAAGAAGCTCTATATAGAGGTAGACACAAGCCAAATCTTTCGTGCACAAAAAGGATTTCCCTTCAAAAACCCTTCGCAATTGGATATTTTGGAAGTGTAACAAAACTTTTGAGTCTAAATATCAGGTAATGTGTTTGTCCTAAACACAATAGCCACATGTAATGTCCAGTGGCGTCACCAGGGGAGAAGCTTATGGGGCTTCACCCCCACAAAAAAAAAAAAAATCCAGCCGACTTTATATAAACACATGCATTTTGGCCCCTCTGTCTCTCCCTCTACACACCAAGTCGTGGACATCCCAGCCACCTTAGCCCCTCCTGAAACAAATTCAACTCGAGGGGGACTGAGGCACCACTTGAAGTTCCTACCCCTTAAAGGAAAGATCAGCACATTATGAACAGAAGCACGGAGAGAAGCTTGCAGCAGTGTGTATTGTCACGAATGACGAGGTGACGAAACAAAGAATAACCGAGGAAACTAAAACGTTTAATGGGGCGAACTTGTGCCTTCCCCTCCCCCCTCCCCAAAAAAAGGAAACAGAAGATAACAACAGAACGTCGAGGGCGACGAAGTTGGCGTAACAGCAGGATCGAACGCTAAGGCGAGACTGACTCCGGCTTGCCACGTGGAGCACCTTTTGTACCGGTGTGGGTTTCTGGAACATTCGGCCTAGAACGTTCGGCGCGTAGAACATTCGTAACTCGGTGAGACGAGGAAGTTGTTGAACTTGCGAGAACGACAAGTAGAAAAAATAAATAAAAGAACATTCCGCTATCTGGAATCGAACCCAGATCCACCGGGCGACAGTCGAGTCGGTAACCATTCGGCCACGTACGCGCTCGCTCTGCGACGCGCGTAGCACTATGTCTGCTTCTCTCTGGGTATTCTGTCCCTAACGTTCTAGCTGACCTTTCATTTGCATCAATGTACCATCTAGCTCAACTTCAGCCCGTTACTTTACCCCTCGCTATTGTAACAAAGAGCCATCAGTATGCGCAAGTACATATGCTAGTGTTGTACAATAGTAAACGGTAACTTCAAAACGAACAGTGATTTTGGCCTAATAGTTTCAAGTCGAATATCGAATAGTTGTGTTGCAACATATTGGGATAAAAAGTTGTATAATAAAAAGCTATTCCATTCCTGAAACATTTAAAAATGAAGTTTTGTGAATGAATGAAACTTTTAAACTATACAAGTCAGGTGCACACGTTAACAACTTCTGTTGACAGATGATAGAAAAAGAAACAGCATTAATGAGGAATGCAGCTTGTCAGGACACCGCTGCCTAACATA